AATTGATTTTTTTCCTCGAAAGAAATTTCTTTAATTTTTCTTCTTCACACTGAAAAAATATTCCAAACGATTTCAAACTTCGAAGAGTAATAAAATTCTGCAAAAGACTTGATTCCAATATTAACTACAGATGTTGAAAGGATTCCAAATAAAAAAAATGTCTAAAGCTTGAATTTTGTTGAATCTAAAATAACTCTTAAAAACTTTTATTCAAATGGCAATTTTCGAATGGAAATTGACAATTCCCTTTGAAAAGAATTTATTCCTTCAAATAAATGACGTTACTTAAAAAAAACTTTGAAGCTGTAATAAAATTTTATGTTTTAAATGATTTATTCCGGGATAGCGCGAACGCAGTCCCGACTAACAAAAATTATACGCCCGAGATATCCACATTAGGGATATTCGCAAGGGTCAGCTCGACCGGTGTGCAATGGAAGAGCCTCGCCCTGGAGGAACCGCCTTCATGATCACGGTAGCCTCTGCGCCAGGTAAGTATGCTTTTCGCTCGCTCCGGCTCCACTTTATCACCTCCGTTGTAACCCTGGACTTGCGAGAGAAACAACGCCAAGTGGCGACCCGTAGCGTCTACTCCTGGCGCTAAGCTATTCCATGCTCGATGATGGTGATTACTTCCCCGGAACATTCAAGAAATTTCGTGTACCCTACGCACATTTTCCAATACATGACATGAAACTTGACATAAACCCGCAGGAGAATGTATTTTCTCACGTGTTTATGGGAATTGAACTCTTGAAATCCTCTTTTTTTTTATTCTGCTTTCATGAAAAAATTTTAATAAATGATTTGATTTAAAAAAATGTTAGGTGTTTCATAAAAATATGTCTCGACATTTGAAGTAATTTTCAATTTCATTTGCAATCCTCCAAAATTTAATTGAAAAAAATTTTTTGCATACAAACAAATTAGGTTACTTAATGATTTTATATTATAGAATTGTCTCTTCCCATTTCATCAAATTATTTTCCCACAATTTTATTTACAATTGAATCCATTCATTCCAGAATTGTTTCCCCTGCAAAAAAATTAGGTTAAAATGAAAATTTTCGTTAAAAAATTACTTAATTTATGCCTGAATTTCGTAAAAATGTTGAATTTTCAAATTTAATTAAAAAATGCATAATTATCTCAGACAAACGTAACGTCACAGAGAGCCCTGTACTAATCTCAATGAAAAACCCAAGACATTTATGAATAAACTTTAATGACCCCTGATCCTCATGGAACATAACACAAACATAGCGTTAATAGTCGAGAACTCTGACGTGTGAAGTGCCCTCCAGTTACATAATCCACCCCCATAACTACGTAAAATAGTTTGGAGCCCTTGGTGAGTTTCAGAACGATGCTAATTGGACTGCGGATTGGTCTAGCATTTGCCGACTGTTCCTAAGTGCCGTGTCCACGTCATACACCACGCGCGGGCGTGTGCACCACGGGATGTTGCACTTCTGTGTCCTAGGAGGATTATTATTACTCCCCAGTTTGTAAACGTGAACTTATTGTTGAATATTAATGCTCATTTAGGGTGTCATAAATTCAGAATGTTGCAGAATTTATTAATGAATAAAATATTTCAGTTAGACAGCACTGGTAAACATTTTTGAAAATTTTTATCACATGATTCCACTAAAATTTCACCGAATTTCGTCATTGAAAATTCAAAATTTTAGTTCAATTATTACATGAAAATAAATAGATAACAGGAAAATTCGGGTAAATATATTCTTGAATTTTCAATTGATTGGTAAAACCTGAAGTGTCATCATTTATTTTTGCCGTTACCAGTTAAATTTGAACAATAAAAAAAATCTGCTAGTGACTTCATTCACTGATGCAGAAAAAAATTCTGTGCAAAATTGAATGCAAATTATCGTCAACACAATTTTATCGCTAATGCAAAATGCCACCAACAATGTACACTTAATGATGATTAATTATTTTTAGTCTTGTTCAGTGAATGAGAACTTTCAATTTATTTCATTGAAAAAAAAACTTTGAGCCCTCGTACATCCTCAATTTTCAGTTTTCTTAGTATTTAAATCGAAGCGACTGCATAATTCACTCACTCCAGACTAAAACTCAACCGTAAATCACGGAATGAAGTAATATTCAGTAAGCTGTTGCAGTATGCCCGAGCAAAACTTTAATATTTCATAGATTTCAAATCTGACAGGACCTGTAAACCATTTAATTCCACTGCATTCCCAGTCTCCTGTAATATTCAATGCCACTAGCATATGCACCGTTTGTTGATAAAATCTCGGGGTACAATAATAATCTAGCTGTTCTGGTGGAAGTGGGGGGACTATTACCGACACATTGATTAATTTCTCTAGTATCATGGAAAATCCACTGCTGAGAAACTTTGGATTATTAATCTTGCCTTCGTCAGGGCTTGCCAGATGCTTTAAGTGATTTTCCTCGTCATTGGAGGTAAGACAAATTGCACATTAATTTTTAATTAGTGGAATTAAAAATGTGGTCGATCATTTTGGGGTGGGTGAGGTGAATACAGAAGAGGTCTCGATAATGAGTGGGTTTAGGGGGAAATTCTAACATATATATTTTATTGGAAATTTATCCTATTATTTATTTTCCAATGTAAAAATAATTCATTGGATATTGCTTCCTTCAATAAATTGTTTTTGGATTTAAAAAAGGAATTTCATTCGATAGATTTCGAGATTTTTAATTATCGAATTTGTCAATTAAATCTTTTGTTGAAATTTTTTTTCTCAACAACGGCTTCTTGTAAAAAAAATTACAGAAATGAATTAAAGTTTTGAAATTAATTTTTTTTGTTTAAAATAAATTTCTGAATTCAGGGAAATCAATAAATTATTCGTGACACACTCCAGCAATCTTAGAAAATGTTTTGTAACGATTTACGAGAAGCAATTAAATTTCCTCTTTCCAAGCTAAAAAATAATAATAAAATCCTTGCAAATATTCAACTCCGATATTTAAATACAGAGATTGAAAGGATTTCAAGTATAAAAAATTGCTGAAACCTTGATTTTACTCATCATCAACTAATTATATAATATGACATGAGCAGTTGCTTTGAAATTTCACCCATTGGAAATTCCAAATTCCGTCTTGAAAAATTTTTAATTTCTTCAAATAAATATTTATATTTGAAGAAAACTTTAGAAGCTGGAATAGAATTTTATGTTTCAAATGGTTTATTCCGGGATAGCGCGAACGCAGTCCCGACTATCAAAAATTATACGCCCGAGATATCCACATTAGGGATATTCGCAAGGGTCAGCTCGACCGGTGTGCAATGGAAGAGCCTCGCCCTGGAGGAACCGCCTTCATGATCACGGTAGCCTCTGCGCCAGGTAAGTATGCTTTGCTCTCTCCCGAGCTCCGATTTAACAACTTTCCTCGCCTCCGCACACGAGGACGAGAATAGCTACCGTGCGTAGCCTCACGACGAGCCCCGGAACTGCCATTTGAGCGCGACAACACTATCCTCCGTCTCTCTCTCCGCGCTCGCTCTCCGACCATCCACTATATATCCACTATATATACTACACACACATGCGCCAAACGCTCTAGGGACATCGCGGAATTCCATTCCGATGAATGAAAAATTTTACCGCCCAATAACGTCAGAATTTCGAGAAGAGGCAATCGAGAATGTAAAGTAAATGTAAACATTTTTTTTCACGTGCATTCTGCAATGCCTTAATATGAAATTCTATTTGAAGTAGAGTTTTCGGTGTTGGGGAAGTGGAGGCGAAATTGAAGTGCAGATTAAATTTACAAATGCATAAATGGCACTTTTCATTATAGGATGGATCGGGAAGAATTAAAATTATTCAACGCGAATTATCCACTTGCGGTAATTCCGAATGGTTTGGAATTATTACTTTTTGAATGTCTTAGAAATCGGTGGGCTTGGCAAGAAAATTCCAAGCACTTTTATTTATTATAAATTCCCAAACATCTTTTTTGTAAAGTGAAATTTTTGACTAGTTTTAGAAAAACATTTGCATGAAGTTTATTCATTTTATTATTGCTGTCCCAGATCTTGAGGTAGTTAAATTGTAATTGCAATTGGAAATTTCTCTAGCTATGGAGCGAAAAAAATTATAATGATTATTTCCAATTAAAAATTACAATGGGTGAAGTAGACATGAAATAGAAGTCCAGATTATTTAAATTTACAAATGCATAAATGGATTGGCACTTTCCATTATCGGATGCATCGAGAGGAATTAAAATTATTCATCGCGAATTATTCACTTGCGGTAATTCCGAATGTTTTAATTCATTTTTGTTGAATCCCTCAGAGACTAATGAGTTTAGCATAAAATTCCTAAATAAAATTATGATATTTTTTCTAAATAACATTTTGACTTCTCTAAACCGACTAATTATTGATATTCTTCGATAAAATTTTGTCTAATCGATAGTGACACTTCATAATTTTATTATTGCTCCCATAAATATTCATCTAGTAAAATCAATAAAATTTGCAATTGGAAATCGGAAAAAATACTAATGATTATTCCCACTAAAAAAACAATAATGAAAAATTAAAAAAAAATCATTCGAAAAATGACAACGAGTGAAACGGACGTGACATGAGGTTCCAGATTGAATCTCCAACAGATTGAATAAACAGTCAATTCCCATTATCCGAAAAATCACTGAAAACAGAAATAATTCATCGAATTCCGATTCACCCCAGCGAAATTAAACATTATCTGAAATCAATCAAGCGTATTCACCATTTCCATTAATTCCTGATTAAACATCTGCGACTCCATTCCCCCCTGGAAGAGATTTCTCCGTGATATCAATTAAAATCGTAATATTACTCTCATTTTCATTCTCCGAAAGGATAATAATTTCAGGCTACCAACAACATTCAATTCCGATTGATGCGGGGCATGCGCCGGGGGTTGTGGCCAGTCGAGGGAGACCAGTTCTCGCACACTCGATGGTTAGTTGGAGCACGACAGCGCAAGGGGCCACAAGAAACCCCGGAATCGTGATTCAAACGGATTTTCAAATCTCAATCAAAATCAAATCTAAACAAAAATAATAAAAATCCCTCCAATGACCCAATTATTTTTCTCCATTAAATGTACCTAATAAAAAAATTAACTTCCAATTTCCGCAATCAGTTCCGTCACTACATCACTTGAAAAAGAAACCTCAAAAGAAGAAATGAATTTTTAAAAAATTGCATAATTGCAAGAAGGACAATACATTTTTCCTCTGAAATTGTGATTCAATCGATTGAAAATAATTTTGTGTTCACTCTCAATTAATTGACCTTGACCCGGACTGATGTAAAATACGATAAATTTATGATTGACAATTTAAAAAATTGTCAGACAACATAATTGACGATTAGCGACTCCTAAACCCCAAAGTGTCGTTATTAAACGTCCGGTTGATCCCAAGTGACGTGAGATGGGTCCAAGTATTTACCGCCTAATTGAGGTGTGACGTTGTAAGTTGAGTGATAGACTCCGATGAATCGATAAGAGTCAGTCAACCGACCAATTACTCCCCCGACATGAGCAAAAAATATGGGAATGAAAACGTGAGACTAGTCCCCCGGGTGTCTCATTAATTTATCCGCAATAAATAAACCCGAAAAACATTGGATCAGTGAATTACTCGCTCACCGGAGAGACTGAAGACACGAGTAAATATGAATCCGCCGCTCCTGGAGTACTTTGTCGTGGCTGTATTGTGCCTGGTGGATAGGACCGCAGGTGGTAGTTGCAGAGCAGCGAAACTCTGCTGTCAGGGACGTGACTCGGGTTGTGTTATTCAAAAAGCATCGCCCAATGCAATTATCGAGAGCCCGAGGGATAAGCCGTGCTACTGCGATCATGCTTGCCTCAAGCTTAATGACTGCTGTGATGATTTTCGTGATACATGCAGTGGTAAGCTATTTTCCTGGCAATTATGCGGAAAATATCGCGGCAAATGCAGTTTGATATTTTTTTAATTCAAGTAGTAGGTGCATTCCATTTTGGGGTAGGTGGGGTGAATACAGAACAGGTCTTGGTAATGAGTGGTTTTAGGGGGAAAACTTAACATATATATTTCATTGGAAATTTATTCTAGTATAAAAACAATTCTTTGGATATTTCTTCTTTAAATAAATTGTTTTTGGATTCAAAAAAGGGATTTTGTTCGATAGATTTCGAGATTTTTAATTATCAAATTTGTCAATTGAATCTTTTCAGTTAAAATTTTCTTTTTAACGACGGCTTCTTGTAAAAAAATTATAAAAGTGAATTGAAGTTTTGAAATTAATTTTTTTTTGTATAACATCAATTTCAATTTTTGATTCAGGGAAATCAATAAATTATTCGTGAGACACTTTGAAAATCTTCGAAATATGCAATTATTCAATGATTTCGTGAATTAGATTAAAAAATGTTTTGTATCGATTTACTAAATGCAGGCAAAACGGTGCAAGTCAATTTTGACTATTGAACAGTTTTCAATGGATATCTCGGAATCTAAGGGAGACAGCAAAATTTTTATTATAACCTTTTTTGTAGGGCCGATTGAGAGCTACAACAAATGCGGTTACGAAAATTTCACTATCTCCTTTCGATTCGGAAATATTCCTCAAAAACTCAACTGGGAGATAAGTCGAGTTAAACCGTTTTACCACTCCGATACTGATTTGAATTATCACTGTTGCGAATTTGAATCCAATTTGAGATCAAATCGTTCATGGGATCCCACTTTTTTTCATTTTCGGGCTGAAATTTCCGGTACACTTCTTGAAAATTTTTATTACGCTATAGTTTAACTGAAATTTCAAGAAATTTCATCGTTGGAAATAGAAAATGTCATTGGAAAATGAATGGAAATAAATTTTAGGTGAATTATGCCGTGAAAGTTAATAGAAAATTGATGCAAATTTGTTCCGGAATTTTCAATTAATTGAAAATTCGAGGGTGCCGGAGAATTCACGTATTTCTACTGCTAAAAAGTTTGGAATTCCACTGAATTTTCTACTCAAGTTCTGAGGAAAATATCAAGATGAATTCTTCAGATAATTACAAACATAATTTCATTCAACTCATGAACCCCTTTCGCCCTCTCAGTGTCTCAAAATAAATTCTGAAATACATTTTTTCTCAAATTAAACATTAAATATTTCAAGAACCATTGGAGATAATCAAATCGTCTGATTCCAACAAATTTTTAAGTCTCAATTTTTACGTTCAGGATATTCAAGTGTTTTATACACATTTTTTTTCCTGATAAATCTTTTTAAACAGCTGTAGCTGCAAAATAAAACCCTTTAAAAAATGAGAAATGATTTAAAAAATCGGCAATTCTAACACTTTTACATAAGAAATTCCTGAAGAATTGATTTTTCACCGAAACTTTCCATCACAAAAATCATCCTGTGTCATTAAAAAAAATAAACAATAATAGAACAAAAGAATACTGTTCACCAGCGAAAAAATATCCCCATTTTAACCGTTTAAACATTAAAAACCGTCTGACGCAAATAAAAATGAGGGTAGAGGATCTCGGAAAAAATTCCCTGAAACATTGAGCATAAAAATTTGATGAATGTGCGACGAGTGATATGTTGCAGGTAATGATTCTCCGTTTTACGTTCAAAAGCTCACCCAACCCCCGAGATCTCGAAATTTTATTGTTCACCAAGTATTTCCAGCGCGTAATGGAGGGGAGAAAAAATTCTCACGAGAAAATGGAAGAGTCCCTGGGATTTTATTTATGGTGCACTGTGAGAGTGTGCAGAGGGATTTAGCACGCGAGGAAAGGGATAGAGGATTTTTTTATTTTTATTTTTTTTCCCTAGGACTTTGCGGTGTAATGCCAGAGAAATAGAGCACGGAGGAGGCTCAACAGTGTATCCCGGGGACTATCAAAAACGCCGTGCATGGAGAGTAATAAATCATGCAGGGGAGTTAGGGAATAAATGAATATGAGATTATTTATAATAAATTTTATGAACGGTCGATTTCGTGCGTTGAATAAACTTTTTATTCATCAATAAATTGGGATTAATAATCAATTGTGGAAATTGCTAAATTAGTTCGATGATTTTTCTGTTTTCTTGGGAAAATTTTCTATGAAAATCAGAAAATTTTAGAAATCTATTCCAAGTGAATGAAAAAATGAATAAAGAAAGGAATTAGAAACGAAGTTGAAAAAAATTTGAATTGAATTTTCCTGATATAAATTCATTCATTAATCTCTTATACAAATCGGGTTGAGTCGATTTTGACTTTTGATCAATTTTTGATAAATATCTCAGAATCTAAGAGAGTTAGCAAAATTTTTCTCTCAACATTTTTTATAACCCTCAATTGGCTCTACAAAAAAGGTTATGACAAAAATTTTTCTATCTCTTTCAGATTCAGAGATATTCGCAAAAAATTGGCCAACACTCAAAATCGATTTGACCCGGTTTAGCGCTTCGCTACTGAATTGTTAGAAGTATAAAATTTTGGAAACCTATTCCGATTAAATTAAAAAAAAAAGATGAGTAAAATAATTACAATTAATTGAGATAAAAAAGAAAATTCCAATTAAATATCCTTGATATAAATTCACTCGTTAATGTCTTGAGCTGCTTTCGCGGGGAGTGAATAAAAGGGAAAGTATATCTATATTTATATGGTTCAATCTTCACTCGGTGGAGAATCAATTTGAGAAGGGATAGCTGAGGGAAGAGAGAACAGAGGAAAAAAAACCTTCCAGCCCTCCTGACTTGTTCGCGCACTCTCATGTGTGTTTTTTTTCTCATCCTCCTTTTTTCGCCACTATCTTTTTTCCTCGACGAAGGCAATTCCATTTAACGCTGAAGATAGATTGTCTGTTCACCGGCTCCTAATTCTTATTTATAAGGAAATAAAGAAAACAGGGGGTGAAATATTGAATGTAATTTTTCGAGAATATTCACAATATTTGGTCTTCGGGATTGGGGAGTTGGGCTGTGGGATTTTGATGCGATGGGTTTCGGGGATCGGATCTATGAGGATGTTTGCAGAAATGAGGAGAATAGCAAATATTCCGGTGTAGTTTCGTGAAGAGAGGATGAATCGACTCTCAGATTATTTTGAGAATATCTGTGGAGGCGAGGGGTTGAAGGAAAACATCAGAAGATGTTTCTTGGAAGGAACTTTGAGAGCTACAAAAATAAAGATTGTTGATATTCCCCCTCCCCTCCCCCTTATACAGAGAAAATTATCGATGGGACTGATTTTAAATCTATCGAATAAATCTGTAATGTCTCCTATTTACTAAAGATGAAAGAAACGTGAAGTTGTTTTACATCGAAATATTTCGAAACTATCTGACCGCTAATTCTGAATTCTGATTGATCAGTGAGTCACGTGAAGTAGTCGCTGAAAAAAATCCCCGGTATTTTCAAATTCTTCAAATGGCAAAAACTTTTTCTGCGTCATATCTTTCATTTTTTCATGTGTGAAGTTTATCTTTATATCAAAACATATCTAAATTGCCTAATTGTTAATCATGAGAAAAAAACAGTATTTGTAAATTTTTTTAACGCACAAATAATTCTTCACTTCCCAGATTTTTATTTTTTCATATTTATCATACGCAAAAATGACCAATTCTTGCTTCTCAAATTTTCATACATAAACTCTAAACTCTACAAAATTCATGAAAATTCTTCGGTTTCCCAAATAATTCGAGAACATTTTTTGAAGATCTGGAAAACTGAAATTTTCCGAAGAATTCAAGAAATTTTTTCAGTTTTCTAGGAAAACAATTCACAACCCTCCCCTCATTTTTCAACAATTACAGATTTTAATCAAATTATTTTAAAAAGTAAAAAAAAAGAATTAATCGAAGATTAAAAATTATTCATTGATGCTTCACTCTTCATTCTTTCAATTCTCTTCAAGTCATTATCAATATTTATAAAACATGTATGAGTATATGAAGTTTAATGAATTCAATTTTTTCATTTTCACAACGAACAGATAAGCGCGCGCCCAATTTTACTGTTAAACAAATACAATGTTGAAATTTAAATGAAATTAATGTTGACTCGAATGATGAATTATTAAACATTAAATAAACAATTATTAGAATAAGTTGATCATCAAATCATGAAATTGAATTGTCAAAAAAATTATTCTTTACAAACCAGAGTGATGAAAATGTTTTAAATACATGAAGTAACTAATTGATTCCCTCCGAATAAATTATCAACAATTATTGAGAAGATTGCGGGTGAAAATAGCCCCTTTCTCTGTATGCAGTCCCTGGCTTCTCATCACTTTAAAATATCATAAACATTCTCGTCAGCCCCATTTAAATGTTCCATCAAACTCGGCGAAAACTTAAATAGAATCTCAACTCGTCGCGCGTAAAACAGAAGATAAATCAACCGGAAATGAAGGAAATGAGAAGGCACTGTTATGCGCCCCCGAAAATTCGAAAATTGAATTGAGACATTCACTTTACATCTCGGTACACGCCATTGTCTCCGTATATATTCCATCCGTAAGAAAAATAACAAGTTGAAGCGGAGGAAGTGGAGCTCGGTATTCTCTTACGAGAGAACTTCCCCGAAGATGAAACAAACCATTGGCCAACTTTAACAAATGGAATAAGTTTTCATGGTCTGTACATGGACCGGGCACTTTCTTAATGACATCCGGGCGGGAGAGGAAACGATAAAGCGAATTTGTCATCCGCGTTTGCTGGGTGAGATCTCCATTTTTTCAGGCTGAATGTGTGGGGGAAATATTGCGAGACGACAAATGTCAATTCAACTAACAACCAGTACTTTTTTAATTTGATTTTTTTACTCCAAGTTGAAGTTTCAAAAAAATACTATTAGTTGTTGAAATAATTAATATGATTAATCAATAATTTTGTGGAATAGAATTGTCCATTCATCAATAGTTGAATATTAAATTGAAGATTAGAATTCGAATTTAAGATGAACATTTCATAAAATTCAATAACTGTCAGCGAATTTTCATAGATGGAATGCCCTGCTGAAAAATTCCCTCACCAATTGTTGAATATTCAATTGAGAAAACAAAAAGAATGATTGTGAATAGAACAGCACTTCAGTGAATGATTAACTCAACGAGAACATGTCAAACAGCCTTTTCTCTCCCCATTTTTTCAACGATTTCCTCAAAGTTTATTGTTTTCAATTTGTTTAATTTAACCTCGTAGTCTGAATTTAGAAAGACGATTTTATTTAGTTTAATAATTACTATTGGGAATAATTTAATAATTATGTACAGGAGAAATTGATAAATACATCAATTTACAAACTCAATTTGTTTAATTTAACCTCAGAGTCTGAATTTAGAAAGACCATTTCATGTAGTTTAATAATGACTATTGGGAATAATTTAATAATTATGTACATGAGAAATTGATAAATACATCAATTTACATCTCAACATAAGCAATGCAATCTCGCATAATTTTCCCAACGAATTATCGAAACGACGGCAAATGACATTCACTGAAAGATGGAAGTTGGAGTCGAATGCAATTACTCGGTAGTTCGTGGACTGACGTAATCCTCAGCGGGGGTTTGTCAGTTAAACGTTTTCCCAGTGAAATAACTCGAAGGAGGTTTCCAAACGCAAATCCATACCTCGAGACAATTTCTGTCGCATTATCGAGGGGATCTGCACCAACACTGAGACGTGTGCAGACCAGAACGACGGGGCAATTAATTTTTTACAGTGACATTTCTTCCTCTTGTGCAGTTGCAGATTGTGCTGTGAGTGAGTGGGGAGCTTGGTCTCCCTGCGACAATGATTGTGGAGTTGGGATTCAGACAAGAAATAGAGTTATCACGAAGACTGAGCTGAATGGAGGGAAACATTGTCCACAGTTGGAGCAATTGAGAACGTGCAGGGGATTTGTTGGATGTCGTGAGCATCCAGAAGCATCTCACAAAGGTTTGTGAGGATAATTAAGAATAGCCGAGTTCACGGGTAGTCATCGAAATTTAAAAATTAATAAATAATTGGTAATGTGGGACTCATAATTCTCGATTGAGTAAATAACACTAAATTTCTTAGAAAGGATTTTCGATTAAACACATAACCATCGATCTTCCTAACTAAATTATTGATCGAATATTTCAATGCATGATTAATTTTATAATTAAAAATTGTAGAGTAATATAAACCAATTGACTAGTTGAAAATTTAACGGTCATTCTAATTTATCATTAGGGCTATCTCTGCATGGTACGAATGAAATTAATCATAAATTTGGAGAATTATGTTCCTTTCAACGTTTTCTTCGAACTAAACCATAATATTCTCGGGCACAAAATTGATTTCTTGTGAAATTTTCGATACAGAATAATTCGTTACTATTGAAAGAAAATATTTCTCTGGTGGAAAACAGAGCGTTTATAAATTATTTCAGTAGCGAAGTGGTCAAACGGTTTAAGTCGATTTTGGGTATTGGCCAGTTTTCAATGAATATCTCGAAATCTAAGGGAGATAGCAGAATTTTTCTCATGGCCTTTTTAGTAGCACTCAATTCGCTCTACAAAAAAGGTTATTATGAAAATTTCGCTATCTCCCTTAAATTCGGAAATATTTCGTTACTGATTTGTGAAAAAAAAAATTATCTTCAAAAATTGTCATTTTTTTCATTATTCAATTCATTTCCTCAAAAAATTAATTTTTTCCTCTTTAATTAATCTCTTCTTCCACTCCTCACATAATAAGTTAAACTAAAACACCTCATTTCCGTAATTTTTAAATTTCAGAGATAATCCTCCTGGCGCCCCTCCCCGAAACAAACTCCACCAGCGACGAAGTAAATTCAGTACAAAGGTAAATAAGCCACCGCAGTCCCTCAGATCACCAAAACCCTCTCCCAACCCCAATCAATAATCATTGTGCATGCATCGAGAACGCTTTTCCTGCAGAAATAATCATCCAGAATCCGTAATTTCCCGACACACACACAACTCCCGGGGATTCTCAGAGTGGATCTCGGAGACGAAAGCACATAAGATCCTCGTACAACACTGTTGAGAATTTCGTGCCGAGTTTCATTCCAAGTTTCCACCAGTGTCTCATATATTCACCCCCTACATACGGCTACCCACATAAATAAAGTTGTGTGCGTGTGCATGAGAAATTGAGATACCAAGAACGAGAAATATCTGTTCAAAATGAGGCTATTAAAATTCCTGTTTTCACGTAATGTAATCCCATTTAAATATTCATTTTCTATTTTCATAATTCCATTTAAAGAGGATTTAACATTCAACTTAAACACTCATAATTCATTTCCACAATATTCCAGCCATGTTCTTGACTATTTAACACAGTTATCTTGTTGAATTATGAGTAAAAAACAATGGAATATTTTCACTTCATTTTTATTGTAAAAAATTATTTCTGAAATATCATAATTCAAGGATTTTTCATTTTTACTTCCCCCAATTCGTCATTTTAATACTTCAATTTTAACACGGAAAAAAAATACTTGAATTTAGTTTAAAATATACTTGAATCAAGTATATTATATATTCGAATCAAGAATAATATACTTGAATCAAGTATATAATACACTTGATTCCTGTATAAAAAATATTTGATTCAAGTATATTTTATACTCAATTCAACTATATTTTTTTCCGTGAATGAATTCTCTTTATGTTTCAGCAATTGCCAAATATTCACAGTTCTCTGGGCATCGCGCATCTGCACGAGAGAATTCCCCAGCTTGACGCTAGGTAAATCCACTCGTCCATACTCAAGTAAATTCGTAAATTTTCCACAGCAGAATGTGTCACACGAAGGAGATGAGCTGACGAACAGAGTAGCGCGGGCTCGACTCCCAGCGAAGATTGTTATTGTGCTGAGAGGGTGACTCTTGACACAAGCCTTGAGGTCAACGAGTCCCCTTCACTGTGGGCATCTCAAAAAATCTCCCATTCTCTCCTAGTTTCCCTTATCACACCATTGTCATCGCAAACTTTCGTAATCCAGTATCTGTATCATGAGGCTTTATTTATACACGTCCTTCAGAGAGACAATAACTCAGTGGTGATAGCCATCCGAAACTTTTATGATATTCAAGTTTATTTTCCGTGTAATAAAACAAAAAATCCGGCCTTTTCCGTAGGCTTTACGATTTCTGACGCTAATCCCTCGATTTGAATGTAAATATCATGGAAAAATCCAGGCAGTCCCAGGGAAAATGGAAGAATCTAGTTGCCCCAGCGCGAGAATGTGGTTAAGGGGTAACAGAAGGCCACCGTTTCGTTGAAATTTTTAAACAAATTTCCTGCGCAGAATTATTAATATTTTGGCATCCAAGGCACATTGATCTTCATCATCGCCTTTTGGAAATTAATGTGCTTTGATTTGTAAAAATATCGATAACTTTCGGCAGGAAATTTTTTTCAAAAATTTGGAAAATTGGGCATTGTGTTACCCCTTAAGGGGAGACTACTGAGTTCTAAGTCGTGGGATATTGGACTGAGATTTCTCATGCATTGAAGATCGATTATATACATCTAACAACGAATATTTTGTGCAAAAAAATTAATTTTTTATTGTTTGCTTCGCAGATCGTTAAAATATTAAAAATAGTCCAGAGCCTCCAATTTTTGAGCTACAAAGCCTTTTTTCCAACACTTTTGAAAAAGTATTTGCAATAACAATTACCAATTCGTTTTTTGAAATTCGACTCCTAAAATTTTTTATTTTCAAAAAATAACGAAATTTTTTATTTTAAATGAATAACGTTAGTTTAAAAAAATAACTAAATTAGCTGTGTAGGAGTGGAACTTCAAAAAACTAATTCGTAATTGTTATTGAATATATTTTTCCAAAAATTCTGCAAAAAAAAACCTCTAGCTTAAAAATTGGAGGCCCTGGACTATTTTTAACGTTTTAACCATTTGTTGGGTAAACGAACAATAAACAATTAGTTTTTTTGTACTAATTATTCGTTATCAGACATATATAATCCAACTTCAATGTATGGTAAATCTCATTCCAATAGCCCGCGACAATAAAAACTCATAGTAGTCTCCCCTTAAACAAAACTATAAAAAAAATTGTAAGAAAATATCTGAAGTAAATATTCGTGGCTCCTAAAATTGTCCATGCATTTCCTCCGACTCTTCAATCCCTCGATTTAAATATAAAATGATTGAAAAATTCATGAAACCCCAGACAATAGACTGCCCCATAAAAGAATCTAATAACTCCACCCCCGAGGATGTGCCCCAGCCCTCAGCGAGACAATAAACCAACGAACGAATAAAATACATTTCCATACATGTTTCTTCGATTTCCCGTAATACTTTGAGCACTCGAGTGCATCGGATGCGCAATACACCGCCATTTGAAAGAAAAAAAAGTCTCAAGCTCTGCATTTATCCAGAGAATATTGCAATACTGTTGAAAGGTTTCGATCTTCCACACAGGTGTGCAGAGGAGCATAAAACGTAATTGAACAACAAGACAGATAAGGGACGGGGGTGGGAATGGGGCTGAGTTTACTGTCACGCGCAATTATTTAATACACCAGACACGCGAGAGAATGAGCCCTGACACGAGGGCGCGAGCCTCGATAAGCTCGCACGATCGTAAACCTGTCCTTTTTCTTTATCACGTTTGCTATTTCGTGGTAAATGAGAAAATCAATGGCGAGTAATGAGCTGTTTAAAAATCAATGGCCTGAGCGTCACACGATATTCAAATTTTAATGCACACAGAGCAGGGCACTGCACCACGAGCATTACTGAGAAATATTAAAATCCGTTCTGTAGTGGAAAAATTGCTAGGGAAATTACAACTCATAAACTGCGCTGATAATTAAATTTCCACGGAATCGCGGCACCATCTGCTCTTCCCATGTCTGTCTTTATCGACTCTTTGTATGTTTCCAGTTATTTTTGAATGGAGCCTATAATGCTTTTAATGGCTGCGTGCTGCACCCTCGTATATCCTTGGAATAGTGTATTTCAGGGCGAGTGCCGATCCCCGGATGAGAAAAAGTGAAGAATAATTTAACGGAATTTTTTTTGTTTTCCGTAATCTCATTAGAGGGAGGTGGAAAGTGCAGAAATGTGTTCGATTTATCTAGAATTTTTTCGGGTGTTTTTGAGATAATTGAGGAAGAGGTTTAGAGAAATTATTTATTTTCAAATTTTGAAACTCAATTGTGTGAATTTTTTTTAATAAATAAAAGATTTCTTTGGACTTAATGAGAAACCACTGCGGTTTTTATTTTCATTCGCGACAAAACATCCTGAATCATTGATTTTCTCATAAGACACTGCACTGTTAGGAAAAAAATTCTATTTAATTCGATTTAGGGCGGACGAGATAATAAAATTTTGAATTTCTCTGAAAATGCAATGGAATTTCAAATTTTTTTTAGCAGAAAAACGACAAGAATTCCCCAATTCGATTAATTTTCATCATATCATGAATTTTGAATGAAGAAATTCCTTAAAATTCCAATGAATCTGTCTTGTCAAAAATTTTCAAGAACTACACCGGAAATTTCCACCGAAAAAATTTTCAACAGCTCTCGATAATAAATTTTATACAACAAAAATCGTCCCCTGAACATTGAAAAATCCCCTTAAATTGCCCCGACATTCCCACATCTCATAAGAACCTAAAAATTCATTTGAATAGCCCCACAATATCGCGAGACATAATTTCATTACTCAACTCCGGCGATAACTCCACCCCTCCCCTTCCTAACTACACCACCCTTTGAGCCCGCATGTCTGAGTAAAACTTTACGGCCAGTCTCAAAGACTTATCGAGCTTTCCTTATTCCCCTCCATTCGATAATTACAGCACCTACACTAACGATTAATTTTTTTTGCCCCCCCGCGATTTTTTTACTCATTAAGTGTAATGATGGCATTAAGTGATGCTGGGATAAATGAACTTATACCTCACCGCAATTTTCATTAATTACGATTATGATTATGAATTCCACCCTCTTATTTCATATTAAGGTATAGAATTGATGAATGAAATGAAATTTGCATTTTAAGAAGAAATGGCGATGCCGTCTCCTCATTTGCACCTTGTAATTTCCGGTCGTGTGGCCCTCATTTTTAATGGAATTTTTCCCCCGAGTTCGGTAGTGAGTGAGTGCAAAGGGATACGAGAATCACGGCTTTATGCCTTCCTGAATATTGATGGAATGCTCTCGTTATTTTGTTTATTGGCTTTTATTTGATGGGAGTTTTATGATAATGGGTGAAGAACAACGGAATAATGACCACGACTCGTAATTTCCGGTTGAGGAATAGTGTAATGACATTCTGGTATTTCATTAACGTTCATTAAACTTTGGATCTTAATTTTTTTAGTGAGTTCCATACGTAATTATCGCATTGAAAAATTTGAGGCGAGTGAAATCAGAGTGGAAATTTGGCATCGTCTCGAGAATGGATAATTTGAGGATGATAATTCATACTTTGTTGGAAAAAAAAAAATTCGTGGACAGTTGACTAGTGATTTTGAGGGCGACATGAAATTCGATTTGAGGGGAAAAATTCAGGAATTTTTAATTTTAGATAAATATAAAAAATTTACGAACAGTTGACGATTGCGGTAGATTTAGGGGAAAAAATCATGAAATTTCAAATTAAAAATCACATTTACTCTAATTTTCCTGGTATTATTTTGATTTTCAGAGAATAACTGAAGTGAAATTGGCAGTTTCCCTTGATTTTTCCATAAAAATTTGGATTTTTAATCACGAAATGTCCTGAACTTTCAGCCAGGAAATGTCAATAGTATAATAACTCACTTTAATTACATTTTTGGAAATTTCTTTTAACATCCTCTTCTTGAAAATGAATAATAAAAAATTCCTTAACCATCCAGAAGTCTGAAATTCACAGTTTCCACTAATTTCCATCAAATGTCTATAAAATTAATGAAACATGTTATTTTTAATGACGAAATGTTCTGAAATTCAATCAAAATGTCGCAAAAAAATCTTCAAATTCAATTTTTTCAGAGAAAAAAAACTCCCGGCAATTGGCACAGCCCGATATGTCACTGCAATACCATTTTTCCGAGGATAAATTTACTACTATCAACCAAAACACACATCATCCCCCATTGAACCCCTGAACTCGCCAGAAAAAAATAGCTATCTAATGAAAATCTTATCTGACCCATTTATCGTCTGTTCAGGTTCACAAATATGTGCACTGTGCCGAGAAGATAGTGGCAACTGTCACAGTGGTGAGGAGTCTGTGGAGCCCACGGGAGTCGGCAGGTGGAAAATAATGACGTCCACATCGACACGATGTCATGGGAAATGGATCGCAAGTACCAACCTCAGGAGCTACTGCGACACCAGCGGCTGCGAGGATATGTTATCTCTGGTATTCATCTGAAATTAAAATATGCCGAGGGCATCTGGGGATGTTACGAGAAGAGATGAATCCCATTGGACGAGGATGAAAAAAAAATCCAACAAGACGCCTAATAAAATAAATGAATCGATATTTTTTCCGAGGGGTGAAAAAATTTCCGAGGTTGCTGTAAATAATTGGATGGGATGTTGAATGTAGAGTTCGCGTCAGCTCGAAGAAAAATCCCGTGTATTTTTCTTATCATCAGAGATGTAGTGGATATTATAGATCGAATTAATCTCGATAATGTACAGTACTGTAATGGCACGGGGAGAGGGGACATATCAATAAGAAATTTGATTTTACGAGGAAATGTATGTGAATGTAATCGTTAATATCGGATTGATCATTAAATAAATAGAGTAAGTTGAGTAATATGAATGAATTTCCTAATTATTTCCTAAATCATCATTTCCTGAGAATAGTGTGATCCCATTGCACGAGGATAAAAAATCCAGTGTGACGCCTGATGAAATCAATTCAATAAATTAATGAATGAAATAAATTAATCGATATTTTTTCCGAGAGTCGAAAAAATTTCCGAGGTTGCTGTAAATAATTGTATGGGATGTTGATGTGGTGAATATTATAGATTGAATTAATCTCGATAATGTACAGTACTGTAATGGCACGGGGAGAGGGGACATATCAATAAGAAATTTGATTTTACGAGGAAATGTATGTGAATGTAATCGTTAATATCGGATTGATCATTAAATAAATAGAGTAAGTTGAGTAATATGATGAATTATTACTTGCAAAGTCCCACTGTTAAAAAAATTGATATTGTGGGAATGATTTAGGAGAAAAAAAATGGAAAGTTCATGAAATTTCCCCGATTTCTCTGAATTTTTAATCAATTCCCCTAAAATTAACAGTTTCCATTGATTTTCCACGAAATTCGAGTCTTTCAAAAATAAAAAAAGCGCCGAATCACTCTTTTTTTTTCTACCGCCAAAAAGTTCATCAATTATTCATGCCAAAAAATTGTAGAGTCAACTATTATTTCAACCCGTCAATTACAATTACTCTTTTAAAGCCCGTGCCAGGCTCGTTTGAAACTTCAAAATTCACCCCCAAAATTTCATGAATGTTGACAGCTCCCAGAGCGTAGTAGTGAGCCCCCGTACACTGTGACGGTACGTGCATGTATCTCATTGTTTCCCGAGCGAGCTAATGTTGAAATGGACCTAGGGCATTGATGCGCTCGTCCTTTTGTTTTTATCCAAACCGCCGGAAGTGCCAGAGGAATTCTCCACTCGTCCCTCCTGCGGCGATTCACCCAGACAATTCAACAAAGCATTTACCTCATCCTGCAGGATGATTTTTTTTCTCTCTAAACTTTAGCTGTTCTGTCCGTCCACACATGCGGGGTATGACAGACGAAAGTTCACCTCCACTTCATTCATTTTTTAAATGGAAATATGTCGAAAAAGGAAGTTTGGTGAATAACTTTGCCTGGGAAAGCCTTTTTTAACTGCTCTACTTTTTAACATAACATCACGTGAAAGCATACGAGTAACGAATCGCAACGGGTGTCGCCGCAGGACAAAAATTGCTGTGTGCATATACGAATTCTCATTAACGATTATAAAAATAGAGAGAGAGTATATGATTCACGGGGGATTTTTGTGCACGTCTCAATTGTTTAATTCTGAATATCACATGAGAGACGTTATTTTTAGAAAAAAAAAATTTTTGCTATTTTTTTTAGGGGAAATCACGTATGAAAAAATTCAATGGAAAACCTAGCGAATTTGCCAGAAAATTTTATTGGAATTCTATCGGGTTTCTATAGAATTTCTATTGTAATTCTGTCAATAAAATTCTATTTGTTATTTGCGCTCATTCTATTAGATATTCGATAAGAAAAAGTCAATAGATTTCAAATTTCTGTTCGAATTTTTCTCTTGAGATTTTTTCTGTCAGAAATTATTGGGGACAAATTTTACATTTTTTTTCCGCTGAATTTTGTTTTGCTTTGCATTACAGAATTATCTTATCGAATATTCAATAGAATTAGCGCAAAAAACAAATGGGATTTTTCAATAGAATTCCAATAGAAGTTTCTAGCGAATTCGCTAGGTTTTCCATTCAATTTTTTCCTGCATGATGTTTTTAATGTTTTCTCATCCATTTGTGAAAAGAATACATTTCTCCATTATTCCACTCACATTGAAATAATTTTAAAAATCGTAAAGAAATGATAATCGATAGTTAGAGCTCGGAAATACCACAAAAAATGCAAAACTGAAATTTTCACAATTACAGTTTCCTACCACTTGTTGACACGACTGAAATTCCAAAAGATAGACTTATCAACCACCTCAACAACAACCTCTCCCTTCCGGAGTTCGCGGTCACCCGTCATCCCATCCTCGCCCGAAAAACCGCCGCATCCTGGAAGCTCAACTATAAAATCCCAGCGCATTAGAGCCACCAGTATCAGATCGATCGTCTCCAATCTCAAGTGTGCTCCTCTAATTCTCGTCACTCCTCTCCTTTTTTTTTTTTACAAAAACCCATCGAGTCAGTCGTGAAAGGTCCTTTTGATTAACCCCTCGAGCTTTCGTTCGAGCGATCAAGCGGAACGAAAACTGAGCCGAGTGTCAACTGAGAAGGCACTTTCAGCGAAGAGCAAAATGGCAGGAAGTAACCGAGACATCCTTTATCTCTTTGATCGTCCGGCGGAGCCCGTTTTCGTTCCAAAGGGCGACAGTGAAGTAGTTTTCGATATTCCAGCGAATTATTTGGTGAGTTTACCTAAATTATTTTCGTTTGCATGGGAAAACCCAGCGAATTCAATTCTAGACAATTCTATTGAAAACATCCAATTTATACTAAACGATAAATTATGTAGAATATGATTTTATTTACAATACTCAATAAATTATGTAGTAAATAATTAATTCAATAGCAAAGTGTTTCAAGTCGGTTTAAGTCGATTTTGACGACTGACCAGTTTTTAGTGAATATCTCGGAACCTAAGGGACATGGCTAAATTTTTATCAAGACCTTTTTTGTAGCACTCAATTTGCTCTAAAAAAAAGGTTATCACAAAAATTCCATTATCTCCTTTAGATTCGGAGATATTCGTCAAAAACTCAACTAAGAGGTAAGTCGACTTAAACCACTTTACAACTTCGCTACTGAATTATAAATAAGAATAAGAATTTTCTATCGAATTCGCCAGATTTTTCGCAAATGTTTCTCAATGTTCACCAAAAGATGACACTTTAATTGAATTTTCATTCATCCTCAGATCGACAGATATCGGCCGGTAGCTGGTTCCATTTTCAACCGATTTAACGATGCTACCGAGTCGAAAATACCGGTGAAGGAGATAAGCATTCCTGACTTGAGAATACCCCTGCAACTCGGGAGACGCGAGCCATTCTCCTTGTTCATTCCAGCTCATCGTAAGATGGCTGGCCGACTGATTGACATTTTCCTCGGGATGCGAACGTACGAGGACTTTTTATCGGTCAGCCTCTACTGCCGGGATCGGATCAATCCAAATATGTTCATCTACGCTCTGTCCGTTGCCATTCTCCATCGGCCTGATACCAAGAATCTTCCGATTCCATCGCTCCACGAGGTATTCCCGGATAAATACATGGACGGTGGAATTTTCTCCCGAGCCAAGGAGGAGGCTAATGTTGTGCCTGCTGGATCACGTGTGAGTATTGATTGCTAATGACTGCAGTTAATTTGTTCAGGTGACACCTGTTGGCATCAGTAACATCGGATCCATGAAAGTGAATGAAAGAATCAATTGCCAACCAAAATAATTGTAGAAAAGATTGTCGGCCAGTGAGAACAATGAAATGAAATATGTGGAAAAACAAATAAGACATCAATATCTTAATTGGGAACACTAAAAACGACTTGAATACGAACTTTACGACACAAATGTCTCAAAAAAGGCGACAAAAGTATCTTCATTTCAGACAGTAGCTTTCCCATTGTAATTTCACTTCAAAGCAAATCAAAGAATGAGACTTCCCTTCTCAAACATTTGCGAAAAGATCAAACAAAACGTGTTTTCAACCGCTCTCCATTATGAACTCAACGCCATTTCCCCCTCGAAAGATCACAACGGCATTCCACTTAATTACTCCAACCATCAAAGAAGTCCATTTTCAGCATCACGAATTTGTTTTGTAAACGTGTCAAGAGTTAATTAGAAAAGACAAAGGGCTCTCTCACCAATTCTTGTCGCTCTTTTGTACCTGCCACCCCAGAACAATAATTCAACTCTGTGCGACCCCCGCTTCTTTGGACTTGAATTGCCCCTCGGGAGCGCATAAATCCGAATTATTCTTCCATGCTGTCCTGAATCAGATCCCGATCGAGATTCCCCTTGATTACACGGCGTCAGATTTAGACGAGGAACATCGTGTGGCATATTGGCGTGAGGATGTCGGCATCAATCTTCATCATTGGCATTGGCATCTGGTTTATCCCTTCGACGGTGACAGAAGCATTGTGAACAAAGACAGGCGTGGGGAGCTGTTCTACTACATGCACCAGCAGATTATGGCCAGGTATGTCTTTCAAGTTTCTTGCAATTCAATTCTGTCTCACACTCGGCAATCCTTGAAGCCACTGATAGAAAGACACTTCACGCGACTGATAAAAATGCTTACAATTCCCAAAATTGTAAGATAAATCAGTAAAAAGAAGATGACACAGCTTCTTGAAATATCAAATAGATACAACACTGAGCGTCTGTGCAACCATTTGCCACGCGTGAAGAGGCTGAATAATCTTCACGATCCAATTCCGGAGGCTTACTTCCCAAAACTCGACTCGCTAGTTTCCAGCAGGACTTGGCCATCGCGTCCAGCTGGCGCAAAACTCTACGACATAAATCGAACAGTCGACCAAGTGCGATTCGACCTCGAGGGCATGGTGAGATGGAGGGATCGCATTTACGAAGCCATTCACACGGGCTCGTTCATGAATGCCCAGGGCGAGAGGGTGCAACTTACTGAGAAGGGTGGTATTGATGTTCTTGGTAACATGGTTGAGGCCAGCATTCTGACACCCAATGACAATTTATACGGCGATCTCCATAACCTCGGACATGTCGCTATCGCTTACTGCCACGATCCCGATCATCGGTATTTGGTAAGCTTAAAGGACTTAAGGACCGGGGATTGAGCATTTCCATTACAAATTTCAAATGGGTTCAGTCATATTTCCACGACTTGCCACGAAAAAAAAGTAACAATATCACTGAATGCAACCACAACCTTTGCCCTCATGTAGGAATCGTTTGGAGTGATGGGTGACTCGGCAACAGCCATGAGAGATCCTGTATTCTACAGATGGCACGCCTTTATCAATGACATCTTCCTGGAGCACAAGACTACTCTACCTGCATACGAGCGCAATCAGGTAAGCGATCATTCCCGCAATCGATTCCTCAAGAATTATTACAAGCAGAAGAATACGGCTCCACTCAATTAATAGTTGGAGTACCCGGGAATTGAGATCTCAGGACTTCAAGTGGCCACCCCCAACCAGACTCCCAATATCTTAATGACTTTTTGGAATAAGAGTGACATTGATCTCTCCAGAGGTCTCGATTTCACACCTAGGGGGCCAGTACTCGCTAGATTCACTCATCTCAATCACGCAGGCTTCACTTACACGATTAATGTCAATAACCGTGGAAACAATAATCAGATGGGTAAATCATAGTCTTGTGGTTTCTCAGCAATTCCTCAATTTCCTTGTCTAAAATCCGGCTTTCAATTGACCAGGAACCGTCAGAATTTTCGTCGGCCCAAAGAACGACGAACGCAACGTTCCCTTGAACATTCGCGATCAACAGCAACTCATGATTGAACTCGACAAATTCACTGTTACACGTGAGTCATAATGAATCTGTTCATCAGAGTTGAATATCTCGGTTGAATTGTTTTCATTGAAAATGCATTTCCATTGAGCAGTACGTCCCGGCCAGAACACGATAACGAGAAACTCGAAGGACTCAAGCGTGACAATTCCATTCGAGAGAACTTTCCGTAACCTGGACAGCAATAGACCAACTGGTGGTGATAGCCTTGAACAATTCAACCTCTGTGGATGTGGATGGCCACAGCACATGCTTGTACCAAAAGGCAATGTCCAAGGATTCCCCATGTACTTATTCGTCATGGTTTCGGACTTCGCGGGGGATGTGGTGAGTAATTAAGATGTATCACATTATCCGCATCTCAATTGATGACTGTTGCCAATAATTTAGTTCTCCCATGAGATTCGAATCCCATTTCAATTCTTCAATTAAAAACTCATTCTCAACATCCACCCATTACCCTAAAATCTAAAATCTAATCAATCGATAATGCCACTGATGGGATAACGCGTAAAGCTGTTTGAATCCAATTAAGAATCTGATGGAAATCGTTAAATCAGGTTGAACAAGCTCAGCCAGTGGGATGCAGCGATGCTGGAAGTTACTGTGGTATCCGGGACAGAAAATATCCTGATGCTCGTGCTATGGGTTATCCGTTCGATCGCCGACCACGTGCCGGAGTTGAGAGCCTCCAGCAATTTCTAACCCCTAACATGGCTGTGATTGAGATAAGCGTTAGATTCACTGATTCCGTACTGCCACGGACACGATCTGGCAGTGTTGAGAATGCTCTGACTTTTGCCTGAGGGGTGAGAAGGGGGAGGTACATTCAACTTTCGCTTATGATTATCGCTGATTTGTAAAGCTAATTTTTCAAAATTATGAATAAAGGTTTTTTCGAGGCTAACTTTGGACTTGTTCATTTCCCCAACTTTCTTTGAAGATTACAGAGCATCTCAAAATATTCTCGGGCTGTCTGAAAAAATTTAGTTTTTAGTTTGATCTCAACAAGTCCTCACAAAGAAACTATTCTTCATCTCCACTATCATTAAACCCTCTCAGATAAGATTCATCCAACAACCATAACAACTTTCCCTAAATAACAAGGTAATCATGTCTCGCCTCCCGAAACTTTCGCTATACTTCTCATTTCCCCAACGAACTCAACACGTGAGCTTTGGTTCCTCGTTTGTATGGACTGCCAAGTCCTCTATTATCGGTGCAAAGTTGGCCGTATAACCTACGATATTCCGAGCTATAGTCAAGAAAACTTGGAGTACTACGTCGATCGTTCCACCCGTACTTCTCCTCCAACCACTACTTCCAAATGCAAAGCGAAAAGAGAAGAGCGGATCTTAATAAAAGGTATGGAACCAAAGGAAATTGGAATTACATTCGATTTCGATAACCTGAATCCACAATTATCCTGGGGTAATCAAATCGGCTCCTGCCGTGAGAATTTTACTCTCCTTTTTCAACTGCTGAGAAAAGTAAACTCATCACCCGCGAATAATTAATTCTGCCTATCCAGGGCTTATAACTTGCAAATTGGGGTAATTTTTTTCAATTCTATGGAGAGGTGTCTCAATGCAAGAACTTCCACCACTTCATCATTGCTTTTTTTTGTAAAATTACTAATGCAATTTTTATAAAGTCGATCGAATAAATTAGTTCCCATTCAAATCTGCATTAACATATTTTCAATCAGTAGAATTCTGCATTCCACCGAATGAAAACAGCATAATAAGTAAAACCGATTTAGTTTATCATCTTGTCTATCTTTTGGTGGAAAAAAATTGCCAAGTGTTTTGGACATTGGCGAGAAAGGATGGACCCCGAAAGAAATAAACAATGACTTTTATTGCGGCCAAAAAAAACGATCTTTGTTGAAAAGCTCAAAGCATCGCGAATGTATCCGCACATCAAAGCGAATTCATTCATTACCGCGATGTGCTTTTTTCTGATACACGCTTGGTGCAAAAACATCAACCCGATAAGATTTTTCAAATAAAACAAAATCAGCAATCTGTACGGGACAGCATCGCAGTAGCAAGTACTCTGAATTAAAGATGAAAAAATCGAAAGAGGAACAGAATTTGCATCAAACAGAGTGTATTTAGATTCGCTGAGATGACAGTGCATTAACAATCAGTATTTTCCTTTCCGTCTCCTATTTTTTCATTCTTGGAGCAGAGGGAACGGGGGATAATACATGCGGGCTGCATAATAGTCCGATGGAGATGACACGTTCATGGTATTATCGCAGATTCTGTGGGATAACGAAGTGGAAATGTGTGATGCTACGCAGCGGAAGGCTTTTGTATTGTATTCATTACTGTAATGGCAGTAGCAAGACTGATAAAAAAAATTCATGTCTATTTTAGAAAGACATTTCCCTAGTGATTTCTCTTCGCAGATATGATTTCTTTCTGGTTTATCACTTCATTCATTTGTGAGGAGCTTCTTTTTCCTCATTCAGATATTTCGATATAGATCCCCGAGTCGAATAACTGAACCTGACAAGTTTTTCTTACTTATAAAAAATTTAATGAAATAGAAAATGCAATTATTAAATTTATTAAAAAATCTCGAAACCGACACTTCACGAGGGGGTGGAGGAGAGACGCATGGATGCGAGGCTTGAAATTTTTACCCAACAAGGGGAGAAGGTTGCAGAATCTATTCTAGCTACCCTCGTCCCTCGATCCGTTTACATGCGTTGTCTGAATAAAAAATGAAATTGTTAAAAAATCTGACCTTGGTCCAAGTGAAAATGAGAATTTTTTATTTCGACATTTCTGGTGCCTCCAAGGGATTCATTAGGATCAACATTGTCAGTAGATACAGAATCAACCTTCACTTGGCGAAAAAATTCGATTTTGCCGAAAGTCGACTTTCCCTATGAGAAAATCCAAGATCTGACCCTCACCCATCGATGAGAAGTTAAAAGAGCAGAGAAAATGGTAGAGTTGAAAGTTTCGAACATGACGAACATGACTTCCTTCAGCAGCATTTAATTTTTGAAGACAACTTCCGTTAACACGACAAGTTCCCAATGGAAAAATGGATAAGACTAGAAGGAATAATACTCCCTTGTGGTCACAGAGTTGACGATAAATCGAGTTTGGCGACAACTTTGTACCGAAGACAAATAGTTTCGATTCAATTACATCGTAGAATATCCGGAACGGTTGAATCCCAGCCCTTTGGCAATTCTGGTCTCGATTTAGATCTACCATTGGTGGAATGAACACTTGGGTAATTCTCATCCGAGATACAAGCGTTAGTGACCGAATTAGAAAGTTCCTGGGGCTCTAAATAACCTAACGTTGATGGCGACAGCAAAAGGGCCAAATCTTTTCCCAAATTTCAACAATGCAGCTTATTATCTGAATTTTCCCTAGAATTCTGACGAAAAATGCAACAACTCTGACAAAAATTAAAATATTTTTGTGATATTTTTACGAAAATATCCTAAATTTTGCCAGAAGTTCAGGGATAAATTTAAAATCAAGTTAAATGCCTGTCCAATGATTATTGCAGAGATGAGTGCTTCCATCATCGACAAATAATGACGAAATTGAAGCGGGTCCCTCCCACATGCGCTGGGTCGACATTAACAGATCATCTCGCTGTTTCAGAATCCGTTTATACCTCGAAATTGATGACAATACAAAGGCACCAGCTCGTTTGACGACAAATGTGATGAATTACCCGCTAATGAGTTATGGAGACAGACATGACTTCCATTCGAATGTCACAGATCATCCCAAAATCAAAAATGATTTATGTCATTATACAAAAGCATCTCCTTCAATTCAGTAGCGAAGTGGTAAACCGGTTTAAGTCGACTTATCTCCCAATTGAGTTTTTGAGGAATATTTCCGAATCTAAAGGAGATAGTGAAATTTTCATAATCATATTTGGTGTAGCTCTCAATCGGCTCTACAAAAAAGGTTATAACAAAAATTTTGCTATCTCCCTTAGATTCCGAGATATTTATTGAAAACTGATCAATAGTCAAAATTGATTTATGCCGTTTTACTACGTCGCTACTGAATTGTATTCAACTCAATTTTCAAACAGCAAAACTGGATACACTTGACGTACAAAGGACGCTAGACCGGCAAAACAAGACCTCATTCACCCCGGAAATTCAAATAATGAGAACAATTAGTAAGATTGAGCTCTGAAGATGAAGAGAGCGGTAAAGTCTTCTGAGCACACGATGTGGAGCAGAGAAGTACGATAAAAGACAGTTAAAGGTGAGTGGAAAGGGGGCCTGTTCATAGCCGTTAAAGCAAGATTGAAGTTTCTCGTTCAACTTCGAAAAGCGCCTACACCAGCAGCTGCGGAAAACGTGGGGTGGGGTGGTTTGCCAGAGTGAAACAGGATAAAATGTCGATCCTGGGACAAACATAATTAAGAGTAGTTGCTGGTGCACTTTGAGGAGCTTCTCGGACTGCTGCCGGGAGCGGTAGACCGATTAAAACGTACAATTATACTAATTACAGAGGTATGACTCATTTGGTGCCGAGTCGCTGCATCGGATATTCCACGGCAATATTCGCGGGGGTTGCGCTGTTTGATGCTAATTTTGAGGTTTTAGCGGTACTTCCCAAAAACATGGGAAAGCACTTCAAACGCGTCTCTGTAATTTGGTAACGGCCCAGCGCCTGTCGATAATGGATGCCTCATGGAAGTTGAGTAAATCCGGGGAATTTTGATCAAATAATTTACACGGTGAAGCGCTATTTCGAAATTACGTGGGGAAAGGGAGTGTGTTGAAAGAGGTAGTAGAAGTCATGTTTGGAATGTCTAGAATTAATTAATCTTTCAGGAAATTGGTGCACTGAGAAAAATTTCAATGGTAATTTTAACTAGAAGGGAATTGTCAAATAAATTATATTTACAGTAACAATAAACTTTTTGTCAAATAGTGTCGTCAACATTATGATGTAATTTTCACTTTAATGTAATAGTTGAATCTACAATGTTCATTGTTACCGTAACTATTATTTTTTTGACAATTCCCTTGTAGCTGAAATTACCATTGAAATTTCTCTCAGTGTGAATGTTTTCCGTCAGAAATTTATTCTCCTATGTTATGTCACATTTAGATTGAAACAATACTGTATTATACTCTTTTTCTAAAGAATATACTACGAAAAATATGAATAATCATATAATTTAAAAAATTCATAACGTAAAAAAATTAACATATTCTCATAATTATTCAGTGTGAAAATGTTGGAAGACTCGACTAATATCGCACTCATTCCCACAGTTTAAAAAAAAGTCGAATAATTTTATACAGACGTTTCGATAATTCTCCTCAATAAAAATGCGCAAAATAATCGAAATTAAAATTTCAAGTACCTTCGATTTAATTCTGATCCAAATGGAGACAAAAGCATTCACTATATCCGTCCGGATGAAAACTAGCGGGCTTTCGGGTAAAAGCTGGAAGGGCAGGAGGTGAAACGGGAGGGCGCTATGGCACTCTAACGGGATTTTCCGGGCATTTGACTTTCAAATTCACTGGGAGAGGTAACGTCGCACGGTGCAGTTACTCTGTGCTCCTCCACCCAGTGAAGAATACCACAAACGCCTGCCACGTGTGTCGTCATCCCCCGAGGGTTTTTCCAAAAAATTGAAAATTCCTGTCGTACTGCTGAATTAAAAATTCTATCAGCCCCATCTTGTCAATTTTCAATTAATTCCATTTCAATTACGTCCCTCGTATTTTCTACTTTCGTGAATTTTTATACAACTTAAATTATTTAATTGGAAATATAAAAGAGAATAGGATATATAATAGCTAATGAAATATTCGAGAATATAATTTGTATAAATCGAAATAAATTCTCTCGCCGAATTAATCCTTTTTCA